GATTCTTTTACCAGTGGTATCTAGGATGTTTGCTCCATCGAAGGATCAAATGAATATTTCATAACAGCGACAAAACATAAGAAGCGATTGTGTGGTGAGCAAAAGAAGTTGTAGAAGGTGGTTTGCCTGTTTCCGAAGTGGTGATGTCAGCTTAAAAAACGGGCCAAATAAAACGGCTTGATTCTGAGGCTGCCGTCCCAGAAATCTCCACCACACCCTCGGGGGAACATGTAGAACAGAATTAAACGTTGTGCGCCAACTGAAGAGGATCCGAAAGCTTCCAGTGGTAAGAAAATGCGTTTCAAATTGACCGATTACAGAGAATCTGCAAGAGTGTGTTGCTTGCTGTGGACCATTGCCTTCGTGACGTCTTCAAACCCAACTTTTAGAGAGAGGTTTCTTTCTGTTGAGAAGGAAGACTAGTCCTTCAGCCAACAGAGGGACTTCATCCAAATGAAACGAGCTTGCTGAGCATATGGCGAGATATTGGAGGAGCAGCCTACTACGAAGTGCTAGCTGACCATCCAGCAATCACTTCAACTATCTCCTGTGGTCAACTTTGAGGCTTGAAAGCAGTTTGAGTCAAAAGCTGTCGTCTTTCACTACGGTCTCCTGGTAGAGACTAACTGGAAATCATTGCCTCTCTCCCCGCGCCCTCTTTACCTTCTACCTTCTCATTACCATCTGTTTCTAGGGCTACAGAATCGTAAAAATCTCGTAAGCGGGAATTCACCCTGTGTGTATCGCACAAACTCTTACCTGTAGACGTAGGGTCCGATCTGTTGAATACGCGGTTTTTCGCCACGAAGTATGTCATGGTGGTTGGTTATGTTGAAGAGGTAGATGGAAAAGAAGATGGGGGTATCAGGGGCCACCCAGTTCTCGCAAACCGATGACGATGGCGTTATGGCAACGCTCTACAAGACACCAACCGCAAATGATGCTATGCAGGCATCGTAAACGCAGACAAGACCTGAGTAACCTAGACGCATCGCGAAAGCAGTTTCTACGCCACACTAATCTACCCGAACGCACGTCTGTGTGGCATAAGTTCACACGTGATAGGGCGACGTTTCGTCGACGTGGGGACTTCATCAGAGAGCTCACGACGACTGGGGAATAAGCAAAGGCGACAACGAGTGAAATCAGTGACGCACCTTGGCAATCATGTTGTCCACAAGAATGTCGAAGACGCCAATGAGAATGAGGAGAACAAGCGCGATCAGGAGTACGATCGTGGTTAGCACGCCGGTCACAATGGCCGATCGCTTGGAAAATCTGCAGAATGACATTTCGTCGTGTTGATGCTGCAATAGAAACAATACTTAGCCACGATCTCGTGCGTCAATTGGATGGAAACGTGAACCAATGAACACTCCTTGTTTGATGATCTTTTGACAACTTCTAGCCAACGGCACGACTCAGTGAATTTCAGGTCATTTTCAGTGCGATTCCATTGGTTGATGAAGGCAAATAGCTGTTGACCTTCAGACGAGCTGGAGGCAGCTTCTCCTTCCTTGTTTTGCACTTTAGTTATTGCCAACGTCGAATGCCTGCATTTTGGGGGGCTGGCAGGCGTCCCACCGACATTCAGCTACTCGTTTGGTTACCAAAGGAAACGGAGAACCGGATTGAAATTGGGTGTTTCTTAATCACGAATTTGGCCTGCAAAAGTCATTGCCACAGCAACGGGGTGTCTCACATTAAGACGCGCCTGCATTTTCTCGTCGCTGTGCTTAAAAAAAACAATGAATCACGTCCCTCATCATTTTCGTTGCAAGATGATGAAAATGAAGGTAGAATGCGAGTTGACCTTTGGAGCGCCGACCGGCTTTTTGACACTCACGGATTCGCCCCCTAGCAACGTGATTTTCCTGTGTTGATCAGGTTTGACAGTCCATCTCCTAACCAGCGATTTTGGTCTGCGAAACTCGCTCACGGGTTGATCCGATGTCAATGACTCACCCCATTCTTTCATTGGCTGTTGTTGGTGTTGACGACCAATAATTGGCTGGTCTGCCACGAGTGGACTATCGTATCCCCTGTCGTCTGTCTCATGTGTTGCCGTGCGCGTTAACTAACCGCTAGTCCAATCAACCACTGCTAAACCGTCGAAGGTCTTCCAGCCGATTGCAACGGAAAGGTGGTTGCTAGGCATGCGGTTTTGTGTCAACTTCACCAAAGCCGATGCCGTCTCAGCTGATTTTTTTGGCCCGTTAGACTTAAGTCGCGCATGTTGAAGTGCATCAGGTTACTGGGGTGTGCGTAGCACTTTAAGTGGTGACAATGGCGAACGTCGGTGTGAAGGGCTCTCAGAACCCTGGGATGGAAGGAAAGTTCGATGTCGAGACGCGTGTATTGATCCGAAAACTGTCGCCAGGTGATCTCCGGATTTGCCAGCTCGAAATCTGGTGATGCGGTGATGCTCCGCTGGTCTGTCAACTTTTCCGGTTCACGTTTTCATCCTGGCGAGCCCAGTTAACGCGGTTGTACTGATGACATTCAACGCCAGTGTGTGTGTCAACTCGTCTTTCTTTCCCCCCACCAGCAAGGTCTAACCGCCGCCCAAATCGCCCGTCACCAGCACTACCTGGCCATCTTCGACACCCTTCGCACAGTGACCACCGTGATTACCAATTGGGAGGAGATCGAGGAGACGAAGGAGGAGGTCATTCTCGACTTGCCCGAGATGGGCTCTACTGTCGAGGCGGCGGACGCCGTCGAGTCTGACGACGAGGGCAGTAAGTGCCTACTGATTATCTTTAAGTAGACGTTTTGTTTTCTCTTCGTCACGTGCCTTTTAATCAAAACTTGACCCGATGTTCGGTTTTGTGCCCTCCTGCAAAGCATAAAGGTAAACACATAGGCAATTCACCTCGTAGACTTAAACATCATGATTCGAGTTTTCCGACAATCCCTTAGTTGTACCATCTCCTTATTGTCATGATTGCTATTGGCTCAATGCCTGAATGCCTCGGTTTTCCATTGGTTGCATGTGCCCTTGGGCATGCTCCCGCGCTTCTCTCGGTGTTGTCTAATGACGCGTCTCTGTGTGTTCTATTAAATTCAAACCTGGATTGTCCAGTCGAGTATTTGGCGATGCCGTTGTCTCGAAAGACGGACCGGAACTACCCCTCTCAGTACCAGGCGGAGTACGTCAAGGTTCCCTCATTGGCCATCGACAGCGTGCATCCAACCGGTGAGTTGTTGACGCACTTTTTTGATTGGTCGATTGCAGACTGTAGGCTGTTCTGTGGAGTCTACTCCCTGACTCTTGTGACCTTGTAGAATCGACCTATCAAAACAACCTTATTTGGGACGAGATGGAGTACCTGAGTCAGCCGCTCTGTAAGTCCTCATCCTTGTCGCCTCTTTGTCCCACGTAAGTAACCGGGCAGTCGATGCATTGGGCGCACTAGAACGATTGCTTCCTTGAACAGCGACTCCTCACTGCTCAGGCAACTGGAGAACGTGCATTCCACCAATCTGGCAACGCGTGTATCCACAGAAAGTTTGATCCAACATGGAGTAGCGACACGACAGCTCGACTTATTCAGCGCTTTGAGTCTATAGTGGCTTGTGGTCTAAGCACTACCTTACAACCCTCTAGTTAACAGCCCGTAACAACCCGAGAGTGGAGAGAAGAGAGGCGTCAGCCAAGTGTGTGGATGAGTGAACGAATGACAGGCGTCGAATAACAGTAACCAATGAAAAAGGGATGAGTCATTGTCACCGTGAGGTCAGTAACCAGGGCTCACTCAGGCGCGATCGCTGTTAGTCCGCTACAAGTCAACTGGTCTTGCCAAATCTGGAAGACCCAAGTATGTCTCCAACTTTGGAAACAATCACCTCGTTGAGGCTGCCTTTCCGCGTCGTAGTCTGCTAAGGCGCACAAGGCGAACTTCACCTGAACGTGGCACCAGGTAGGGGATCAGTTGTAATTGTGTGGCACTGACATCAAATCGCCCACACTTGCTCCACCCATCGAATGATGATGATCGTCGACTAGGTGGGGAATTCCACCAAAATCTGGATGTTCTATTTGCCACGACAGATTTAAGTCCCGCTCGGCTGCCCGGTCACTTCTGCCTTGATGGTTAGGCATTTCGAGGTGTGAATTTGTGTGTGTAGTCCTAATCACTGTCATCATCCTACGCCTTATTTATAACTGACAGGTAGCAGGAAAACCGCTGGAGCCGTCAAGCGTAGGTTTTCTTCGTCGCATGTAGAGTTCTGCCCGTGTTCGTGTGTGTGTGAATTCTTATTGGTGTGCCCACCGTGTGATTCTCTCCCCACCCCTCCTTTTCCCTAGCATCACCATATTCAGTCCAGCATATTGCGATGTTGTGTGTGTGTGTGTGTGCGTCTACGTGTGTGTGTTATATTTCCTCAAGCCCTCGAAAACGCAAGACAAGCGCTGGATGATGGTAACACAACACCGGATTTCACCAGTGCATTTGCAATCGCCACCGATCGAACGGGTGATCTGGCTGGTAATGCGAAGTCTCCTGCTTCCCCGGAATGCTACTCGGAGGTCCTTGTTTCTGGTTGGTTAATGCCACCTCGAGCTTGATTGGCTGAAGGCTTCAACTCTTGACTTGGCGTGCTTGCTGTGCTCTCGACTAATTCCTGCTATCGTCTGGCCTCTGGCTCTTAACTGGCCGTGTTAATTAGTGCTCTAGAGGGTGGTTTTTGTTGCTTTGCGGCATGCCGTTTCCAAGAAACGCCCCCTTGCTTTGAATCCCGGCTCAACCAATCGGCTAATTCGCTTTCCAAATCGGAGTCAGTTGGTAACGTGCTGATTGGCAGTGAAGTCAAAGTTTAAATCGAGTTGACACAGTCACCTTGCTCACACCGCTGTGATGTTCGCCTAGCCAGCGTAACCTTAACCTATTGCTTTTTCCCTAATTGGCTCAAGTAAGTTAGGCTTTATCCCGTGCACCCAGGGTAAACTGAATGCTACTAATCACGTGATTTGCACAACCCTAGTCCAATCACTCATCGTGGCTTTGAGCGACCTTGACGGCCATACGGGTGTATTTTAGCCAATAGGAAAGTGTGCGGTAGATTTAAAATGGGTAAGATTTAGCGCATGGGCACAAAAACGGTAAGAAGATGAGCAAATTTGACGATTTCACGGAAAAACCCTTGGTAAAGGAGGCAGAGGCGACAGGGGAGACTTCCGGTTTGTTGAAAGGGTTAAATTGCCGTCAAACGGAGGATGGCCAACGGGACTCGCGCTCGCGCACTTACACACACGCACGCACGCACTCACAAACCACCCACTTAGGATCACTTCTACAACACCAGGACTTCGTTTTGGCGCGCTGGCGGCTCTAACAATGCCCGATATTTTTGCTCCATTGTGTCTAGACGAGCAAATGCTGCAGGCTTCTTCGGCGCAGGAACACGAGACGAGCCTCTCGGCAACCCTGACCAGCGATCTCCACATGGAAGAGGTGCGTCAGTGTGTCGTTAATGACATTCGCGTAGCGTTTTCGCGGACACCGTGGTTAGAACTGCCAACTAGGCCTTATGTCACGGCTAGCATCGAGAGTAGTTTGAGGGTTGACTATTCAAGGCAATTGGACGCTCTGCTTTCTTTTGCAGACGTCGAAGGTCTTGGCTGGTCCCGGGGACCATCTAGACGCGGAATGGGACATGGAGACGGAACCCGCGGTCACCTCCTCCAAGAAACCCCTAACCGGCGGGTAAGTTCGAGTCCCCGATCGCTGACAGGCCATTTTTAATGTGAACTCTGATCTTGTGCTGATCGCGTAGTCTCTCTTTTGTGGTCAGTGCTTGTTATGCCATCATTAGCAAACACGGCACTCGCTCGTCTAACTCCCGCCTGCACCAACACTGCATCCGCAGTTTGGTGACCGATATACTCTGAACTGGCTCGGTAACACATTCCGTTGTCGCCACAATTCTGGCAGGTCCTGCGGTCTTCTGACCAATCGATCGATAGCTTCTGCGACGGTAGAACTCGTCGCGCACCTTTCGCAAGGGGTTGGTATCAAGGCGGGTCTGCTTAAGTCGCCAACGGCGCTCAAAAGCGTATTTGTGGCAGCGCAGCTTCCAGAGGTCGCGGAACTTCACCTACGAGGCGCAAAACAACACACCTGGGTGCAATCACATGGCGGTCGCTGCTGCTGCGTGTGGACCTCATGTGGCGGGGGCCACATTTGATTGGTGCAAAATTTCACCCCTTTAACTACGTCGAGAGTGATAGCAGCGAGCTGTGGTCATCAGGGAACGACACTGATCTTCGGCAAGATCAAGTCAACACTCGAATGTTACGCATTCTCGTGTTTGGGGGTGGTTGGTGTGTGGGCCTGATGCGCCGCTTTGATTGGTGCAATTAGACAACCACAGTCTGTGGGCCGCTTCACCAGGCAGCACGACAACGTGGACATTGCTAATCGATAACCATTTAATCACGCCGACAGTGGTGGTCATGGAAGGACGTTAATCTTTGAAACGACCGAGTCGGTATACACACGATTTTACCAGTTCACGTGTCTGTTATCACCTCTGACGACCTCTACTCATAGTGCTTGAAGGAGTCGGCGGCGCTGCATATGCGTCGAGTGTAGTGAGCAGAATTGCGCGTGAGCTTCCCGCCTTCAGAGCATGGGCGACTGGACGAGATTGGGCTAAAATCGGTGTTCACACCACCTCCTTCAAAAACCAGACGTGAATTGAGGTGTCGGCGTGCGAGTGTGTGGAAGACAAGGAAGTGAGCTCGTTTTGGTGGGATGTGCGTTCGTGGTAAAAGCGTCCCACAGCAGACAAAGTGGGAGGGCAGGGGAGTGTTTGCAGGACAGGTTTAGAAGTGAGCTACTCAAGACCGTATGGTGGTAACCAGAACAACAGTGGCAA